ATTGGTTGGTTGTTTGAATAATGAATGTTTCAGTGCTAATGAGCAAAGTTCTGTCCTGGGCCATATTTAACATTCTGTAGCAGTTACAGAATCTAAAAGCCATGTAAAGAGGATTCCTTTATATTGCATTACCCTAAAYCACCTGCATTTGGCATTTCTCAGAGCTGCCTCTCTTGTTTGTCCTCTCTGACAGGAGGTGAGCAGGACAGCAGCTATGAATCACACYGGTTTTACTCCAGTCTGTTTGTATAACACAACACCACAATTAGAAAACAGGAAGGACAGAGGAATGAAGAAGAAAGTAGCTGGCTCTTATACCATATTGTTTTAGAATTGCATTGATTTTTAAAAAATTTATATTGCAGATAAATGTAATTCATAAGCTCTCACAAAAACCCAAATTAATTGCATTCCAGAGCCGATTCCAAGTTGGACTACTCTAAAAGACAGATCATTTATTATTAATTGCTTGTATATTTTCTGAACAACTTTTGAATATTTAAATATTCAAGTATATTCAATACTGCTTTTGAATATACTTACTCCTAATAAYGAGGTCATCTGAGTACAGCAGTTCTTTACTGCTGTGGGGAGAAAACACTGCATCCTAGGAGGGAGAAAATACTGAGGGAGGAAGGGAGGTGCTGAGATTGAGGACCATTCCTTATCACCAGGTGTTCCTTTCCCACTGCTCTGAGTTATCCAGAAGCTCCTTGAGTTGTAGCCCTCCAGGTATTGACTAGCATGCCAAATGAAAACAGAGGRAAAAATCAGCAGTCCTTTCTCTCCCTTTGGTTATTCCAGAGAATTTCCACATCAGGGATGATCAGGTCTCTGTCAGCATGGCAGATGGATGTGTGTGTATTCCCCCCTCAATTACGTGCAATATCCCACAACAGCTTTGTGATTGTGTTCTTCAGAATGCGTGTGAAGCAAAACAGGCATCACAGGACTGCCTTCATCATTTCAAATACCAAAAATGCCAGGACAGGAAGCAGCAGCACGTGCTTACTCTTGTTGCTTCTCACAGGGAGAGAAGCTCTGGGATGCCTTGAGGATCAGTGCCTACGTCTTCAGTACAGGCCTGCTCATGTTCACTGCTCTAGTGAACTCTGTTTCTTGGTAAGAATGTTCAGACAAAGCAGCTTSAAGAGAAACTTTTCTGTGCAAARGGGGRRAAGATGATGACAAGAAGATGGGCAACCAAGAACTCTTATTCCTACAGGTTGATGCAKAATATAGCTGTAGGCAATTTCTGGCAAACAGTATGGCTGAAGTTCTACGACCACATGGAAGGAGATGAGTGGACAATCTTCCTTCTTGGTGAGTTTTAACAATTCTCCTCAGTAGGAGAAACTATTCGTGCATTACATATAAAAGGGGGACATGGAGATGCCTTCCTGACCTCACTAATCCTCCCACTGACCAGCACTGGTTTGGAACCACCCACAGCTGATGTGGTGCAGCCGTTCTGCTTTTGGATGGGATCACCCTGTGCAGATTAGAAATCTGATCTTTTTGCTGCTGTTTAAATGGTTTCCCAGTGAAGACACTGTTCCTGTGAGAATTGAATGTCTCAGTAGAACAAACAAGGTAAAATTAGTGATTTACTCTTGTTGTTGCACCTATAAAACTCTCTTCTGTGATTAGCAGCTGGTGAACAGAAAAGTAGGAACCTAGGTAAGATTCTAGAGATCAACTCAGCCTTATCCTACTCATATTTAAAAGCAAGAGAGACCTCCCAGCCACAAAGAAAAACCTTTTCTTAGCTTCAGTTATGTCAAGTTTCAACCTCTGAGACATTTGTCTGCTCTAACCTCCTTCCCATTCTTTAATCTTACCTGGATGTCAGAACTTACCCATATTCCATTTTAAAGCATCTTGGGGCAGGGGACACACACTTGGCACATCTGGGTCCCAGCAAGATCCTCTGGATACTGCGCCAGTGTGTTTTGTTTCTGATGTAGCCGTAGCTCCCAATTCATTCACACATCTCTGCCCTTTCCTCAGGGGCTGCATTGGTGCCTGCACTTGCTTTCTGGGGCTTCAATGGAATCCTTCTGGTGGCTGATATAACAGGAAAGCCAACTTTCATTACTCGCTATCGCATTCAGCTGGGCAAGAATGATCCTGTAAGTACTYCTCTGCCTTTTCTGCTGCCTAAACACTTCCTGCAGTCTCTTAGGCTGAGAATGGGGAGAAGAACCTGTTGTGCTTTTCTCTTGCAACCAGGTAGARTTCCAGGAAGATCAAGCCAAGTCTTGTGTACCCACTGCAGGGAGGAAGGCGGATCCTATAATTAGGCTACTGATAAGACCTGTACTGACAGCTTGTTTAGGAGCTGATCCCAAAGCTAACTGCTTACAAAACTGGAAGTTTTTCAGCCTTCTAACTAAAAATCCATCACTTCTTTCTTAGCCTCAAGTCCTGTCTTCTCTTTTGCAGGTGGACACAAAGAAACTGCGCCAAGCCATCTACACAGCGCTGGGTAATCAGTTCTTTATCTCCTTGCCCATGCTTGTGCCCATGTTCCACATCATGCAATGGTGGGGCAACACTTTCAGCAAGGAATTACCCACCTTCCAGTGGTTTCTTGTGGAGCTAAGCATTTTTACTGTAATAGAGGAAATTCTCTTCTATTATTCACACAGGTGAGCCGAGCACAGGAGCAGGACTCTAATTTTCCTCCATGCCTGTAAGCTTATATTCATATCCTAAAACTGCAATAATCCTAGTCCCCCTCTTCCACCAATCTTGTGTTTATATAGGAAAATTACTGAAATCTACCCTTACAACATGATACTTTGGTGCTGCCAGTAACTGTAGTAAACAAAAATGGGTAGAATGTTAAAGGTGGAACAGCTCAAAAGCTAAGGAAGAAACAAACCAGGTAGTTTTGCACAGAAGCTGTGAACCCAGCATTCTTTGAAAAGAACAAGACTGACTATCCTGAAAGAAAAAAAAAATCTCAAGGGTCAGTGACTGATCCCCATTTCCCTGCACAGCACCTACAGAACAGGGCGTGGCTCCCAACACTGTGGGATTTCCAGCCACTGACACCAATATCAGAGGACAGAGCTAAAGCAAGGAAGACAAAAGCCTGTTCAGAAGCACAGACACAGCACTCTTAGAAATATATAGGTTTTCCTTTAGAACAAATGCACCCGGAAAATGTAAACACCATTTTCTGCAGAGGACCAACAGAACCAAAAATCCTGACTCTTTGACAGTTGCCAGTAGAAAAAGTCAAAAGAGTGAAAATACAAAGTGAGCCTTCCTCTAAGTGGTACTCCCAGATTTGAGTAAATCAGTCATTTACGGACTTTGATTTATGGGATTTATCTGGACTAAGTTTAATATCAGCCAGTGGGCACACTAACTCAGTGAGGGCTCAATACAAAGAGCTAAGGAAGAAAGGACTCCTACACTCTTACTGCAGCTGCTCTGAAATCTTTATATTTGAGGACACACGAGCAAGTCCCCTGCAGAAATTCTGTGTTCTGTTACTCGTTTCTTGCAGAGCTCAAAACGTGCCTTTCTCTGTTTGCTGTACCTAGGCTTGTTCACCACCCAGTCCTGTATAAGCACATCCACAAGAAGCACCATGAGTGGACAGCTCCCATTGGTGTGGTCTCCATTTATGCTCACCCAATAGAGCACATAGTAAGTGGATTCTCCYATGGCCACCCTCCAGCTGCTGTGTG